GCAAAGCCTAAGGCACATGCTTGATTTTGTTTGATGTTTGCCATATAATTTATTTTTATAATACACTTTGTAAAGTAACTGTCCCAAAGTTGCAATTCCTGTTGTTCATGGCGCATTTATTTGTAGAATACACTGTCAAATTCACAATTTGATATTTTTGTAATAAAGACTATGTAAAGAAAGAAAAATTTAACTTCAGCGATGTTTTGTGTATTCAGCACATTTGGATTTGCCACCATGAGATTCTGTGAGACTAAATACTCTGAAGCCTGCTGTATGGAATTTGTACTATTGCAGAATATTTCTTGCACTGTGTGATGGTTTGGCATAAAATTAAGTATTAAAGTCCAATGCCTTGAAATGCAACCAGATTTACTCATTTTAAACAATGTAAGCCAGTTTTTAAAGCTGTGATTTTTTTTTTTCTATATAATGTATGTTTTTATTTCTGCCTGTACCAAAAAAGTTAATTTTCACTACACTGTAACTAATAAATTTTCACAACTATGCAAATGTAATCAAGTGTTTGTATTTTACCTCTGATTTCTTAAGAGTGACAGTACTCATATATGTATTTTTTATAGGGACAAAATGTATGGCTTTGGAAGTTCTTTTTTCTGACTCATATCTCACTGTGGTATCAGTGATGTACATAGTTAAATTGATTCAGATGTTAAGATATGGAGATGAGTCTATCACCAAGGACTTAATGACTTCATGGTTTCTAACCTTGTCCTTTCACTGCACTGGCAGAGATAAACATCTCTGGTTTGATTGTATGTTCAGAATATTTAGTCCTGAACTAGTATGACTGTAGAAATGAGGTGCTATGCACTCTGGCTTACACTGAAGGGCATATTTTACACAGGTGGATGCAGCTTTTCAAATAGCATCCAGAGAGTTCTGTGGCAGCTATACTTAAAATGATTTTTGAATGAATTATATATAAAGCTGGATACAACCGAGAGAGGGTCTTTTTTCCTTATACATTTCATAATTGATGATTTTTAATCTAAGTCATTGGCACATACTTAAACTACTGAAGATTTTTGAATTGCAGAAGTTACTGGGAGAAACTACTTTTTGGAAGGGAAAACAGTATTGTTTGCAGGAGATCCACTTTGAGATGCCAGAGAAAGTGCATTAACTTGGTGTCCCACTGAGATGACTAGGTCAGTTCATCTTTGAAGCTGTAGTATCGCACTGCTGTGTAGTCAATTCGATCTTCATGGGAGCCATAGGACCTGCTTTTCCTTCTAGACATAAGTTCTGCAGCAAATGCTGACATCGTAGAGAAGCAGGATATTCTGGGACCTGTATAAACTTTCTTGGACTTGATCTGCATTACAAAGAGCTTGCTAATTGAGCTATACTGAGTAATGGAAACAAATGCTGCTTATCCCTGCGAAAACAGTCGTTTTGTTGGTATAGCTTATACTTTACCTGGTACACCCAGTTTTTTAAGTAGTGGTCTTTTTCTTTACAGCACACAATGTATGCCAATAACATAACTATGTCTGTAGATCATATTTTAGAGCGAGCCAAGAATTACAGCTCTCAGAGAGTAATACAGCTGAGGTGAATAAAGTTTAGTATATGACACATTTCAATTTACTGTGCAGTAGAACGAACATTGTAATGACCCAGATCTTCTATTTTCAAAGCAATACTTGGAAATCAAAACCTGTCCATGTAAGAACTACATTAAGTTCACCTGGAATGAAACTGCCGACTATTTGAAAGTGAAAGTGATATGCCTGCAATAAACTTCAGTCTTTAAATATCAGTAAGATATAAATAAAATCTTACTCTGAAATTGAGTCTAGATTTAAAAGGTCCCAATGAATGTAGAAAATATTTTTCCTTTTCTAGATTTTAATATAAAGCTAACTTCCGTATGAGTGTAAGTTGTTTCCTTTTGGTTTATTTATGGTTTTGCAAATACACTAAGTTTTTAAGCTTTACAAAATAAAGGTTTTTTTAAAGCATAAATACAGTCATGGTGCATTTGAAATAATAATCCTGATCTGACACCTGGCAAGCAGCTAAAGTATTTCATAGAAATGCCTGGAGGGTAAAACTCAGGTGTGCAAAGGGTGCTTTAACAGGTGTATTTCACCTTCAATACAATTATGTTCCTGGTGAATTTTTTACATTACCTGATTTGGGTATGAATCTGAAGCAAGTAAGTAAAGAAAGTGCATTAGCCACATAATTAGCCTGTATTTTGGGCACACTTGGTCAGAAGTCTGTTAATATAGACTAAAGATGTGATTAATTTCTACAGGTATGGTCATTTGAAAGCAATTAATCAGGAAGTGCTTTCAGATGAAGATAATGTAGAGGCTATCTTGGGCTATAGATATCAACAGCTTTTAAGCAGTGGAAAACAAGTACAAGATCAACTTTTCTCTTAAAGATCTCTTACTGTCTAAAGAGGATTGAAAGACCTCTGGGTATAGTATATAGTATTATTATTAGAATAATATATATTGTATACTATATATTATATAGTATACACCTTAGTATAATTATATCTGATAAAAGACAATGTTTCAATCTATTAAAAAAATCTCAAATACTTTGATTCCTAAAGAAAAACTCTACAGCCAGTGAGTTTCCCTTTTGCTTCACTGTGAAACATAACTGGACCGGAGGAGACAAAAAGCGTTTCATAGAACCATCTCTAGTGTAGAAAAACAGATAAAAAATTGAGGTTACTGCCCTGACTATTACACCTCCTACTGTGAATTGATGGGTTTTACCTCTTCTTCTGAACAGTAACATTCAAGTTGAAAACTTCGTATTTAATGCTTTAAGTTTTGTAGATTTGCTCCCTGAATTAATCTATTTGGCTGTTAATGCATTTTATTTGCCTTCCCTGTTCTAAATATTGGTGGGTTTACCCGCATCAGTTCCTATAACTAAAGGTGGCAACTGAAAACCAAAGATAATAAAGAAAAGGCTGATAACAGTAACAAGAGGCTTAGCTAGTGGGAGACAGGTAAAAGAAGGGCCCACAAGATAATGGAAAAGATTAATTAGGAATGAGATACAGCTTTAGCACAGATTCCACAAGGAATACGATTATTTTTTTAACCCTATACAATTATTTAGGCACCAAACCAGTCCTTAAATTTTAATGCCCAGACTTCCTACGCTGCATAGGGTCTCCAGAAAAAGGCGGCACTGCCACAAGTGACTGCTCCCCCCAGTGGTCTTTGATGAAACTTTCGGTTCCTCGAGAACTGAAGGCCATCTATTTAGGGAAAGTGTTCCCACAGGCAGCTAAAAAGTCTCAGACTGGGTTACACGCTTACAAAGTTAGCTAATTAAATAGCTTGGGCTGTTTGTTGGTGGTTTTTTTTTTTTCATAAAATCAAGGCAGTACATAAATACTGGCTAAAAGTGCATTTTGGCTATAATCTGCATAATAAAAAGGCTACAGAGTCCTCACAAAACAAACTTTAAAGCAAAGGAGATAATAAAGTGAGAAACATGGACTTTGAATGTTGCATTGGCTTGAGCAGTAAATAATGAACTAATAAATAATCGTCTTGAGCCTGACAAAACAGGTATTCTGGGGTACAAATGCACACTACTGTCGTGGTTTAAACCCTAGCCAGACAGCTTGTTCACTCACTCCCAGTGAGTGGTGCCAGGGTGGAAGCAACCGAGGGCCCTCCACCCCCCGGGGCTCTCCCCTTCCCCGCTCCTGGAGGAACGGGGAGGAGGATCGAAAGAGTGTAATTCCCACGGGTTGAGACAAGAACAGTCCAGCAACCAATGTACAACACAAATCACCACCGCTACTATCAACGACAACAATGATAAGAGAAAATAACAAGGGAAGAGAATACAATACCACCCGCTGAGAAAGGAGTCCGACCCAGAAGACCCGTGTCCTTCCGGGTAACCCCAGTTACATACACCCCCCCCCCCCCCCCAGGCATGACGTGCTGTGGTATGGAATACCTCTTTGGCTAGCTTGGGCTAGGTGTCCTGTCTCTGCTTCCTCCCAGCTTCGCCTCCTCCCTGGCAGAGCATGAGCCTCACAAAGTCAGGGTAAACATTACTTAGCAACAACTGAAAACATCGGTATTATCAGCACTGTTCCCAGGCTGAAAGTCGAAACACAGCACTGCACCAGCTACTAAGAAGAAAAATTGATTGCTACTGCTAAACCCAGGACAACTGCTTTCCACATAGTAACTATTTAATGAACTGAAGCAGGATTAGCTCCCAAGGGAAATAAAAAGCAACAACTCTAACAGCAGCATCCATATGTGCATCCACTGCACTCCACTCACATACCTCCTGACAACAGAGCAGGAAGACAGTGCAAAAATCTCCCTATAGTGATGGCTACTATGTGCAACTTACATTAAGATAAGCTCTCACAACCTTGCTGTGTTACTACACCTCCACACTGGCGCTGGTACTGTTCCTATTTATGAGAGCAGGAAGCTGAAGTTAACGTCGCCGTCTTCGACCCTATGGGTGCTGCCTTTTCCTAGCAGCCCTCTTCAGACGCTGTGGGAAGGCTGGAGACGAGGAGGGCTCCCCCTGACACACACCGTGGGGGTCACAAGGCTGCAGGCTTTTAGGCTCAGAGGTGGTTGCCGCAGCCGGCCGGGCTGGCCTATCTGCTGCCCTGGGACACACGGACACCCCAAGGCCGCGGCGGCCCCCCCCCAGCGCGGGCTGAACCGCGTCACAGGGCACCGCGCCGCCAGGAGGGGGCAGTGAAGGGCTCCCGCCACCGCCAGCTCACCCAGCGCTACTACGCATGCGCGCCCTCTCCGCGCACCGGGGGTGGCGGAGCGAGCGGAAGCGCGCACGCGCAGCTCGCCTTCACCGGAGCAGGGGTGCTCCGCTTTGTGCGCATGCGCGCGGGTTCTTCGCGGCTCTACGGGGAGGGTGGGTGCGTGTCGTCATCTGCGCGCTTGCCGTCTGCGTCCTGCCCTCCCTCCCTCCCTCCCTCCGCCTGGCCCGTCGTGGCAGAGCGCGCAGGCGCCGTGCCCTCCGGTCACGTGCAGGGCCGGTCGCCGGCGGCAGCGCGAGGCGGTTGTTCGGGCTCGCGCTATGGCCGTGAACTACAGCGCAAAGGAGGAGGCGGACGGGCACCCCTCGGGCGGCGTCGGGATGCCGGGGGGCGGCGCGGGGGCCGGCGGCGGCGCCGTGAAGACCCGCAAGCCCGACAACACGGCGTTCAAGCAGCAGCGGCTGCCCGCCTGGCAGCCCATCCTGACCGCGGGCACGGTGCTGCCGGCGTTCTTCATCATCGGCCTCATCTTCATCCCCATCGGCATCGGCATCTTCGTCACCTCCAACAACATCCGCGAGTACGAGGTGCGCGGAGGCGGGCGGTGGGGGCCCGGGCCTGGCTGTGCGTACGTTAGGCCGGGTCCGGCCGGGCGAGAGGTGTTTGGGACGTCTTCCCGATGGCGGTATGCGCCTCCTTGCGAAATCCGCCGCCGTCTCTTCCTGCAGGTGCTCGGCGGGACGTGGAGGTGGCTTCTGTGAGGAGCGGACACCTCGCCCTGGCTGTTCCGGTTCAATTTAACGTCTGTTCTCCTTACCAATCCATCCGTTAATTACGCAAGCAGGCACTGAGCTTATAGGGTATCTGCTTTCCGCACAGAGTGTAGCTTTGCTCGTGCTCCTGAGTGAACTTCCAGGGAGCTTAAGGCTGGTATTTAAACAGCACAGCCCAATGCAAGGTTTGTTCTCAGCAGTACAGGAAACATGTATGTGCATCGTCCTTGGAATAGCTTGTGTCAATGAGTTGTGTAGCTGTAGATGTTCCAGAGTAATTGTAGTTTGAGGGCAAAGCTTTGTCCTGAAATACCTGGTGAAGGTATTGCTATAGTTCTTACGTGTGCTAGTGATTTAATGTTTTAGATGCACCACAGGAGACCGTGGTGTCTGGATTAAATTTAGCAAAGATCACAGTGTGGCTTTTTATAATTATACTTAGAAAGACTGGATCATTTACATCTGATAATTAACCACACCACTGCTGGAAAACTGGTTGAGTATTAGCTGAAAACTAAGCTGTACATCACAGTTAGGTCCATTTGATAACAGAATCATTTAGTGTGGTAAAGAAACAACCCAGATATCTTAGGGACAGCCTTGAAAAGCACATTGGCAGTTATGATTAGTTTCAGTTAGCTAATGCGACCAAGATTGATTGTTGGGGGGAGGGAAGCGTTGTTCGATGGACTGCTATATGGGAGAATATGAATTCTTGTGGATCAAATCATCTAGTTAATCAGCATAAGCTGTCACTTTTGTGTACGTAGTGTTCAAGGCAGTGGCTTGGCTAGTGGTATCCATGTGGCAGTGAAGCCCCATTAACTACGTTAACTAAAGAAGCTCTGGGGCAGGCAATGAATGGTATTATATATTCATATTTCTGTTAAAATGTGAACAATGTTAAACGAATTTAAGGTTCCCTTTCCTACTATATTAAGAACTAAAATTACAGTCAAGGTGAAAAGAAGTGTAAAAACCAAAGCTGGGGTGTATTTTACAGTGTTCAAATATTGTATGTAAGCATATTTTTGAAAAGCAGTTGCTTCTTGAGGGTAAGCAGAAGATCTGAAATTTGATACAAGTACCAAGTTGTCCTGGTCATGTAGACTTTTAAACTGCCAGGTTACAGTCATATTTAAAGTAAGTACAATCACATGTTTTTAACAGGATTCTCAAGGGAGAGAAGTAAAAAAAATAATCTTTGCTAACAGTGTTTTTTGGGTTTTTTTTTTTGGGTTTTTTTTTTTACATAATTGCATTTAAAATAGCCATTTCTAGTAAAGTGATACAAAGTCTTAGTTTACAAACTAATGTTTGTATGGTAAATACAGTTGGATCAATATATCACCCTTGTTTTTTCATTATAACTGGCTCTTCCTTTATCTATAAGAACAGGAAATACGTCAGTTTCATGAGTCCAAAACCAAGTGACTTCTTGTGCCTATATTGCTAATATATTATACACTACATTTATATTACTGTATACTGCATCTGTGTATGGGATTTTTATACAGCATGTTGCTAAGCATCTCGTTGATGTACTCCTGAAAAGCTCCAGTAGGAGGCGGAAACTGGATGTTCCCACCTAACATGCATTACAAGAATCTGTAGGTGACATGGGAGAGTCACTGATGCTCCGCTATGCAATGGGTTGCATGTGTAAAGCAACAGTAGTAGTTTGTATTTGGAAACCTGTTGGCAGGTGCTGACCTTCCACCTTCCTCCTTTTCTAATTTCAAGGTATTCAAGTTTAGAAAGGGTTTATTTTGTTTGTTTTACTGAGTGGGTTCACTCTTGTATCACCCACCTCACATGAAGCTCTCCCAAGCCATACCGTGACTTTTTTGTGAGGACAGGAGGAACAGAGTGCTTAACTTTTGAGAGTATGATCAGACAGTCAGGGTATGCAGGTAAGAATGGGGAAACTTGGGTTCTGTTTTCTGATCCTCATGCATGTTTTGTCAAGTGTTATAATTCAGAAATCCAGAGATTGTCATTCTAAAGCCAGCTGAATTTTGGAGGAAAAAAAAAAAAGGCTTTACACTTGCAGCAATAAAATATAGATTAAGCATTTTAAAGACCAGTGTTTGGGCCCTAAACACCAGTGAGGGATACAGATTAAGACACTACGTCACCTGTACCCTGTTGGTACACTGGATTGTTAGTAACCTCCAAATGTTATTCATAAGTAGCTGTAAATTTAGCTCTGGGAGACAAGACATCTAGAATCTGGGTGCAGTGACTAAGCTCTTTTAAAAATGTAGTTGGGGAGGAAGCAAAGGTATTTACACCTACTTTCTAGACAATAGCATAGTTGTTAAGTGTGTGTCTGTACATAGATATTTGCCTGTAAACTTACTGTATTGGAACTGAATAAGAATTATGCCCCTGAAATACATATTTATGTGCAGTTCAAATCACCCTTTCCTGGAACTAGATATTGTAGCCATCAGGATCTCTGTGAACTGTACTGTTCTTGTGCAGGTGCAAGGACTGAACAGCAAAATGTAGCTTTTTCCATTGATTTCCTTTATAAACTGTCTTGAATTCAAACGTGGAGGATTTCCAAAGGCTTAAGTGAATTATAGGGGGTTTGTGCTGTTTTTTCTCCTGCATTTTCTCACTGTTTGAAAAGGCATAAACAGCCATTTTTGTTGTTCTCTCATGAAAATTAGTTCATTTGGGTTGGAAATGAGTATTGCTGTGTAGATGTGTCATTCTGTCCTGTTAAAGGGGAAGGGTGGGAGTTCTGTATTTCCTTTCTTCAGGAAAAAAAAAAGCCTTTTAATAAGTTTTTGTTTTGTTTTTAGATAAGTTGGCATTTATCACATATTGTTAATATGTGACAAAAATTGAGGAATATCCAGAACATTAACTGTGTGGGAAAGAGATCTTTGTGCTGTGACTGCTGCTGTGAAATGTGTAATCGTAGTTAAAAGGCCAGATGGACTTTAAGGCATGAGCAGGAATGAAGAACTGAAAGGAAGCAGATGACTGCATACTCTTTCAGTGTTGAGTGTGGTTTAGGTAGCCCCATTTCAAAAAACGATACAAAACTTAATAGAGGACCAGAATTACTGGATGCCTTTTATACAAGAAGCCAGAGTAGGATAAATACGTGAAATCTATAAAATTGTAAATGATTTGGAGAATATATATATGTATATGCAATAGTTATTATATCTATACTGCAAACATGTAAATAGACTGAGAAAGCAGCTGCCTGAAAAGCCACTGGTGCTGGATAACTTGGATATACCCAGTGTCCTCAGGTGAAGGGTTGTTGGGAAGGGCTCTTTCTGCATGAGTTTGTCATACTCAGGGACAGAACGCTGGGTCGGGTGGGTGTCTGCTGTGGACCCCAAAGTCAGTACTTGGTATCTCAAGGTCCTGGTTTTGTTGTCTTGTCAAGAGATGAAGACAGGTACCCCTATCCTTTTAAATAAACACTATCTTGAATGTAACCTGTAAATGTGGATGCAGAAAAAAAAAACACTTGTTGGCAGTTACTGTGTGGGAAAGCTCTTGGGTAGCATTGAAGCTGGTTGCAGCGGTTAAAAGTGTGGTTCTGTGTCAGTATACATCAATTTTATGCTCCACAGAATTTAGTCAATCATATTTTTAAAACTGAAGTCTTTAGATTTTTTTTCCAACCTTGGAGTATTTGAGTTTGTTCTTGATCTAAAACTTCTCCGCGCACTGGAGAACTAGCTCAGGAAACAGGTTAAAGTTCTTTTTAAATGAAGTGCTTGCTTAAGCTTATTGTATCAGCAAAAAAAGCTGTACTGAGCCTTGAACAAATGAGCTCCGTTGTTGAGAGCAGTGGTGGTGGGTTGGTCTGCTGTAGCTACACAAAGCTGTTCAGGATTGCTGCTCTTTCTAGATCAGCATAAACTCAATACCTTGCTCAGCAAAGGAGGCAGAGATTATGTGATCCTCTCTCTCTCTGCCAGCTAATAGCTTCTGAAGCTGACTCGTTTGAGCTAGGCTCTTTAGGGTGTCCGTCTCATCTGTCAGAAGTCTGGCAGCAGAACAGATGCTAATAAAGGTGCTGAGGGAAGAGTTGCAGCTTAATAGATACTGAAGACATGGCAGGAAGAGAGACCTTGGAAAAGATCCAGAGGAAAATAAGCTTCAGTTGTTCCCTGAACCTTGAAACTGCATGTTTGTTTTTGCTAATGTTAATACTAGGACAGATCAAAAATCACTGCAATTCTTGGTGCATTTCGCTGCAAGCATAAATTGGGGCAATCGATTTGCAGCAGCTTTCCATAAAACTATATAGGTGGTGTAGTTTAAATGATAGTGCTGTTAAAGAGCTTGTTGCCTTAACTTGGTATGTGTTGAAGCGACCCGAGTCTAAATTCTAAATAGGAAGTTCATAGTAAATACAGAAATACATATAGGGTAAGCCCACGGCCAGGAATATGTCATGCATACTGCCCATGTAGCCTGTATGTACAGGCTTCAAATAATGGCTTTTTTTGAACTACACTCTATAAGATTATATTGTATAAACCAGATTAACAGGCATCATCTTTCTTGTCCATCTAATATTTTACCATCCCTGGCAAAATAGTATTAGTGTCTTAATCTTCCCTATTTAAGACAGTTCTTGGATATAAAGTGATTTTTTTGTTTGTTTATGGTTGGTTTTTTTTTTGTTTGGTTTGGGTTTTTTTTACTCTTAGATTGCTAAAAATGGTCAGCAAAGCAAGTTTTCTAATGCAGACTTTTTCTATTAAAATACCTAGACTTTAAAAATTTTAAGCTCTGTGGAGACCATGTAGAAGCTCAGATCTGCTTGACATATTGTGTGTGTGTGTGTGTGTGTGTGTTTGTGTGTTCGGAAGCATAATGTTGTCTGGAGCATCTGCTGCTTGTGTTTTGGCATGTGTGTTTTGTTTTTCCACAGCAGTAATGGCCTACCTCAGAGTTAAATTTTTTGAGGCTGAAATAGAATGTGTAGGTATCATCACAAAATCTTTCAGCTTGGAAGGGACCTCTGGAGATCATCAAATAGGCCTGAATGGGCTTTTGGTGTTAGGGTATAAGGTTGCAAAACAACTGCCACATCAACTCATTTTTCTTTCCTTTCCCATTGTAAAGTAATGACTTTTTTTTTTTTCCTTTTTTTTTTTTTTTTTCTATTACAGATTGACTATACAGGAACAGAGCCTTCCAGTCCCTGCAACAAATGTCTAAATGTGTCCTGGGACAGCACCCCACCTTGTACTTGCACTATCAATTTCACACTGGAACATTCATTTGAGGTATGCTACCCTGTATGCAAAGTGAAATTAGAACAGTTTGTATGGGTTATTTCCTAATTGGTAGGAAAGCTGTATCACTCTTAAGTCTTCTTTTTTTTTTTTTTTCCTATTTTAAAGGGTTCTTTCTAGTTTTCCTATGAATGTGGATCTGATTTTTGTGTGCCTTTTCAGTAGTATGGCTTGAGATGGTTTTTAGTGCCTCTGTTTATATGGAAATGTGCAACATTCCATTTAATGTTTGCGTTTTACACATTTAGATTTATCATATATGCCATACAGCTGGTGAGTAGATCAGTTATTCCTGCACAATTTAACAAAAAATCAATCCAAGAACTGGAAATACTGCAAGTGCTTTCTGAGGAATCCGAGGCACATAATGGGGTACATGTGCTTAACATTGGACAACACTGGTGTTGGGTGCTGCTGAAAACCATTCTGATAATTAATGGCATGTTTAGACTGTTTGACTTCATGATGCCAGCTCATGTTAGGATAGCACTCTTACGTACTCAGTGTGAAAAAAGGATTGAGGCTCCTACTTAATGAATGTTGCTGTAAAGTAAACACAGAGTTTAATAGGTTAAAATACAAGCTTTGTGTGAATGATAACCCCATCTTACTTCTTGTAGAGCAATGTATTCATGTATTACGGACTTTCCAACTTCTATCAAAACCATCGTCGTTATGTGAAATCTCGAGATGACAGCCAGCTAAATGGAGATAACAGTTCACTACTTGTAGGTATTCGCGCATGGATATTAGTAAGCAACTAACTTCTGACTGTTGCTTAAATAGCCATATAGCAGTATTTGAGGCATTCTGTTGCATAACAGAAGATCAGCCATGGGGAATTTGTATTTTACTTACAGAAAAATGTGTGTAACATATTGTAAAATTTCATGTTTGTAATTTCATTATGCAAACAGCAGTGCAGTGCTCCAGTCACTGCTCAAATTTGAATAGTTTTAAGCTGTCTTGCCTTCAGTCAGTAGTATCTGTCTGTATCCATTCTGTCTGAAATTTCTGCTTTCAGTAGAAAATATCCGGTTGCCCAACAGTTGGTTTGAATATTGCAGCTAAATGCACCCATTCTGTAGACTCTGGTTCAATACTGAATGTCAGCGATATTGGAAATTATCAGTACTGTGCGTTCTGTTCAGGGTGCTGTGTAATGTTTAGGGCCAGACCTTTCCTTTTCCTGATTTTTATGAAGAGTGGAAATACAGCTGCATTCTTGCTCCAGCAAGAATGATTCTCCCTTTTTACCAGTAAATTTTAAAAAAAGTGGAGAGTTTCAAGAAGCTGCATGACTGACATGAGGTTGGGAGAGTGAGCTTTTAATGCGGAAAAGTATTTGGCATGCTGTTGGAGTCCTTGCAGCCTTTTGTTTTCTATGTTACGCTTGGTTTCTTTTTATAGTCTTATTTTTCTATAACACTGATGCATACTTAAAACACCCTGCCTTTAATAAGAGAATACTTGAGTACTGCATTTTGGAAAATTGTTTCTATTAAAAGATAAAAGGAAAAAAAATTCTAATAGCTTCCAAGAAAAGCCTTATTTTTAGTATGACCATGATGGGATTCTGACATTATTCATGTTTTATTTAGATTCTATTCCTGTTTGTAAAAGAAAAATCAATCATGCTAACTAGTATTGAATGCTGTAGTATTTGTAAACAGCCTGACTTGTGAAAAGAGTATTTTGTGGTACACTTAAGATGTGTACATTATAGAGGTACTACAGTAAAGAGCAGGTTAGTTGGTTAAACTAACACAGACTCATCTGCCTTTTTTCATTTTAACTAACTTTCAGAATCCCAGTAAGGAATGTGAGCCTTACCGCACAAATGAGGACAAACCCATTGCTCCTTGTGGAGCTATTGCCAACAGTATGTTTAATGGTATGGTAACACTTTCAAGTTATCACTTAGATGGTTTTGTGATCTAATGTATGTTTTATGTTGTAATGCAAGTTTTTTGGAGTAAAGACATGTTGGGCTTTTTTGTTTCGAATCAACAGATTTTCATTCATAGAATTAAATAAATATCTTGTACTGCTATTGCTTTTTCCAAAATTTCTATGGGAACTAATTTAATCTGATAGCACACAAAAGATGGAAATACCTGTTCTGAGAAGCTGTTACTGCTATGAGTAGAAACATAGATAAAATATATGGATAATACACTACTGTCTCAGATAGGTTGGTTATTATAGAAGAGCTTGTACTTGTGGCAGGCAGGTAATAGCCTTGTCCACTTCTTTTTGCTTTGCTCTCCTGGAAGTAATACTTTAACTGCCTGTCAGGATCATCTGTCTAATGGAGGTTTCCTCAGCTGGTTTTCTAATTTGATTTTCTCTTTAGATACATTGGAATTGTACCGCATTGATAATGACACAAGGACTCCTATTACTTTGATTAAAAAAGGCATTGCGTGGTGGACAGATAAAAATGTAAAGTTCAGGAATCCTACAGGAGATGGAAATAACTTAACTGCGCTTTTCCAAGGTAAAAAACAAAACAAAACAAAAACAAAACACCAAACATTTTAAGAATAACGGAACTCTTCAAACACATTTTGAGTCCAGTGAGTTTTACCTCACTGACAGCATTGTACTGAATTGTGTTCATAAATATTATGGTTCTCTGAAGAAATCCAAGCTAAGGACTGCTCTGCTATCTATAAAGGTTGTCTTTAAATATTAAAAGCTGCAAATTTCACATGGAAGTGTCAAAGTGTTTTTTACCTCTACTGTAAATTTTCATTTTAATTTTTTTTTTTTCCTCCTTGAATACTGAGAGAAGAGCCCAGTATCTGCACTGCTGTTGTGATTTAACTCCAGCTGGCAGCTAATCACCACACAGTTGCTCACTAACAGTGGTGACTCTGCCCAGTGAGATGGGGGAGAATAGGAAAAGTAAAAGCTTGTAGGTAAAAATCTCAAAATAACACTCCCTCCTCCCCCCCCCAACCCCCCAAACATACTAAAACCTTAGCCCCCACCCCCAAAAAAACCCCAACTATTGAATAGAGAGGAAAATACAAGAAAAAACAAGTGATGCAAAAGTAAACAATTGCTTACCTCCAACTGAGTCCCAAAGCAATGGCAGCCCCTGCTTACCTCTATCTGCCCAGTTTTGTTTCTGAACACAATGCCATACGGTGTGTTATATCCCTTTTGGGGTCAACTGTCCTGGCTCTGTCCCCTGCCAACTCCTTTTGCACCCCGAGCCTACTTGCTGTTGTGAGGGAGCAGCAAAGGCCTTGAGGCTGTGTAAACACTTAGTAAATTAAAAACAGCAATAAATTAAACATCAGCATGTTACCAACCCTGTTGTCATCACAAATCCAAAACACGGCAGGATGCAAGCTACTGTGAAGAAGATCTAACTTTGCTCAAGCCAAAACCAGCACAACTGCAATAATGCTTGGATTTAACTTGAAATCTTGCAGTTTTTTAATCCAACTCCTCATACAGAGATTCCATTTAAATGTTTCTACTACTAGATTGTGCAAAGTTTTCTAAAACCAACCAATCAAACAAAAATAACAACCCCCAAACCAAACCCCAACACCCAACAAAAACCCAAACCACAAAACTGATTCCTTTTTATGATTAGAAGTGATTGATACATGTCTCATTTGTTAGGTTAAATACAGTTTGGTACATTAAAGTTTTCTTTAGCTACAAATGTCTGAAAATAATCATCCTCGGGGCTCTAAGGGGTGTGTGTGTGTGTGTGTGTGTTTATACAGCGTATACAATAATTTCAGGCTTAACATGATGTGGTTTGTTGCTTAGTCATGGCCAAATTGCATGTTACTAATGCAGTGCTACCCTTGGAAAAGCAGATACCTTACCCTAATATACTGTAGAATTGTATTTCCAATAAAATTAGCAAAAGTGTTAGTATGGCATAATCTAAAATATTGTACATAATTTTATTTGCTCATGGTCCAGGAAGTGGTGGTCAAACTCTTTAACAAGTGAGCAGAGGAGCTGTCATCACAATGGAGAACTATCTCACTAAGTAATGTTTTGGACAAGACAACGCTATATAAATGCGTGGGGAAGGCAAATTTGTTTAAAGAAGTGGACAGTGCTGTCATGAGAGTAAATTAAGCTATTTATTTAAATTAAACTATTTAAGCTGCATATAAAAAGTTCTTAAACAGCCCCAGTGTCTTGAAATAGCACTGAGTTAACCTGTTTATACTGTTTAAAAGCTAGTATGTGTTTTTGTAATACCTGAATGAATTTTGATGAGCCAGTGTGTTACTTAGTCCTGTATTTGAAATACCTCAGTGTTGGTTTGTTGGGTTTTTTTTGTTTCTTTCATCCTAGGCACGACAAAACCTGTAAACTGGCCCAAGCCAGTGTATATGCTGGACTCTGAGCCTGACAACAACGGCTTTATCAATGAAGACTTCATTGTGTGGATGCGTACTGCTGCTCTGCCAACATTTCGCAAGCTGTATCGTCTCATTGAAAGAAAGAACAACTTACAGCCTACCTTACAGGCTGGAAAATACTCTCTGGATATTGCATACAGTATCCTTTGAAAAACTTCTGACAGTGGCTGAGGGCCTTAGCTGGATTACACAGGCATATACTTGTGCAAGTTCAATATGAACTAGCCTCTTTTCTTTTAAAAAATGGTATTGAGCAGTGGTTGAAAATTGGTAGTGAGAATATGGTAGACTATTACTATCTTCTAGTTCTGTGCGAGTTCTTTTAGAATTAGTAGCTTCCTAATGAGAGAGGGAAATCTGATTGCTTGGGTGCTGTAAAGGAATTAAGAGAAGCGTAGGAAAAATGAAAGAACAGAGGTAGCTGGTAGGCTAGAAATTTGAGAATTTTACCTTCAAGGTGTCATGACAATGTGTAATCAAGGGCAGACTGACTTTGGAAGTCAGAAAAATGGCAGAGCTATGGATCAGGTGGAGGTTCCTCGTTCTATTTTGGACAAACTAAAGACTAGGTGGGAGTGTGGGGGACCAACGAAGGGTTGTCATAGTTACCCAGTTCTTAAAATTCAAAAGCACTTAATGATCATTTTTAAATAGCTACTGCAATGTTCTCCTTTGCTGCAAACCTCTGGGGAGTGCATATAAAACTGAATGAACATAAAGAAAAAGTTTGCATAAAAATATATTCAGGAACTAAAATTTAGATTTTCCTCAATTTGGTGAATCTGCTTTCAAAACCCTACATAATTGTACATTTACTCTTCCCTTAAAAAGGAGTAACGTCATCTAACATGGCATTTTTCTTGGAGTAGCTGACAGTGCCCAGATTAGTCTTCACCTAAAACAACAGCTAAATGTATCCTATTTTCACTTCCAATATTCAAAGGCAGCGGTTTATATTTGTAACCTGAGTGAAATGATCCAAGATTTTAATGTACCTGACCACATAAAGCTAGAATTGGAAATGTGCTGCTTGTTTTCCTTAATGTTTTTCAGATTATCCTGTACACAGTTTTGATGGACGAAAAAGAATGATCTTAAGCACCATCTCGTGGATGGGAGGGAAAAATCCCTTTCTGGGAATTGCTTACATCACTGTTGGGTCCATATGCTTCTTCTTAGGAGTTGTATTGTTGATCATCCATCACAAATACGGAAATCGAAACACTAGCGCAGACATTCCCAATTAATCTTGCATTCTGAAAACAAATGTACTGCATGAGCATCAAGGCCAGTCCAGAACGGACCCAGTTTTTGAAAGATAAATGTTTGCTTCTGTCACTTCTTGACTGGGTGCATAATTTTTATCTAAAGCTCCCCTTTCCCACACTGTGGATTAACTCTTGAAAATGATGGGTATACAATTGGCTGTCTTGATTGTATCTCTGCCTGTGTCAGAAACAGCTTTTCTGATACTTGCCTCTAACTGGGCAGGCCACATGATGCATATAGCTCCTGTTCCCTTGATGCATCTGCTGCTTGTTCATGTGCTGCGTAATGTTGACATGATTCAGTGCATTTAGATTGTGTGGAGAAGGACTGTTCTGAGATACTGTAAGTTGAATTTCCAGAATTCAGGTGTCAGTGCTGTTGAAAGAAAGTAAAGTCTTAAATGTTTTTTCAGTTTACTGTCTTGTGTGCATGGGCTCTTATATTTCTTGCTGAGATTTTAATATATTTGTATAAGTTAAGTATTCCCGTGTCCCACGCACCTCTGTTACATTAAATCCTTTAAGAGCTGTGTAAATTTCAGCATCCTAGATTCTTTGTTTATTTACAATGTATGTGCCTGGCCAGTAAACTAGCATCCTATGAACATACCAGAAAACTTACTTGTTAATTATTTGTGTGAGTCCCTTTTAAAGATTGTTCTAAATTGGGAAATGCTTGATGCTGGTACAGTCTGCTTTTTTCTAATTTTCTTTGCTTTAGGTCATATCCAGTACTAGTTTACCTGTTATGCTTGCTGGTTCTGCTTTTTATAAGCAGGACCAAGCATTAATAAGAATCTAAAATGTCTTTTCTGTTCACAAATTTGAGTGAATCTCTCTTACTGGAGGAGTTTCCTAATTTTCTTGAGGCATATGTATTCTGAGCAGGTGTTGCTGCAAAGGAATTGTCATATACTGTATTTGGAGTGAACACAAGGGTTTTTGCAGTGTTAAGATTCAGAAGTTGAGATGGCAGTAACCTCTTCTGACTGAAATGCAGGTTGAGCTTGCTGTGAATCCTAATTAAAATACAGCAGTTAGAAACACGTGTAGGTTAGTGTCTTAAATTACAGAAGGGTTTGGTTTAAGTTAACTGTAACCTGTAAAATACTACTTTTTGGTGACCTTTTTTTTAGATGATACACAGAAACTGTATATGGTAGAGATCACTTTATATGCAACTAGCTTGATAAAGTATTGAGTATATTAAAAAAAGACCTAATAAATTCTGCAAGCCATTTAATAAGAGATTTTATTTTGTTCTTGAATGTACATTTATTTTCATCTGGATGAAAAGACATTCTTTTTGAATTCAGTTTGAGTGAGCTGTATTTCTGAGATTGCATAATTGTTGCAAGGAGTTTTTATTCATGGTCCAATAGTTTGATCTATGAATACCACTATGAATTTATCAGAAACAGATGACCTTTTTTACTGAATTACTTGTGTAATCTTTTTAAGCTAACAGTTCAGGTGTGCAAGTCTGTACAAACTATGGAACGAGGAAGTGTTTTCCATGTGCCAGCTTTCTGTAGCCCCATATAATTGTTTGAATAGTACAGTGTGGCAGCACAGGGCTTTCAGACAGTCAACTTTAAGATATTAAACTATTTTGATTTTTAAACTTTTGTGTTTGTCACTTGAAATGCAAACGTGTTCTGCTTCATTCATAATCTTTTTTTTCTTTCAAGTTTGAAATGCTGCTTTTTGAGCTGTGCTCAGAATTAAAACCATTTACCCAAACAGCACAAACACAAAACCCCCCAACACCCCAGGCTGTACCACATATTGAATATTTGCACTGAACAGCCTTCTAAAGTTCTCACTTCCAAAGTAGGAAAAAACTTCTGAACATCTAAGCCAAGTTTATTCCTGCTCTTTTCTTAACAATGTGGTAAATTTATGGAAGAGGCTGCTTCTAGCAGTGTGAAAATGGAAATTTCTGAGGTAGAAAGGTCAGTTGCAAAAAAATTTTTGTTTGCTTCTTTTGTTGTGTGTTTGGTTTTTTGGTGGGGTTTTTGTTTGTGTTTTGTGGGTCCGGCTTTTGTTGGTTGGTTGGTTTGGTTTTTCACTTTTCTTCAAATCAGCACAAGTATTTTCATGTAAAAATACCCTACATTCTAGCTTATGGAATCTGTTCCAGTCATCGTATTGCCTTCTGTGCCTAAATGTGAAGTCTAATCTTGCTTGTCAGTTTCAGTTAAGACCAAAGTCCATTATGAAATGGCCTGATAAGCATGTCCTTAGGTGACATGAGTCTCAAATAAGAAACTGCCTTTCCTGTAAGCCTCTCATTCCAAACATGCTGAGCCTGTGTTTGAAAATGAAGTAATACTGTCCATCATTTGAATTACAAAATTTGCTGCTAGAAAGTCAGAAATTGGAAAATTATCTTTCTCATTTCCTGTTGGAAATGAAATAAAGGAATAGAAGTGTAAGTCAATAATTACTAAAGCTCAAAAAGTAAAAGTAAAATTGGAAGTATGTGGAGTTTTTTCTCACTGGACCCTGATTTTGGCTACAGGTGACAGAAACAGTTCAAGCAAACTGGACTTGGGAGTTAATGTGCAAGTTTAATTGAATTTGTACCTGAGGATTGTGCCCAGATTTTGTGAAATGGTGAGATGTTTTAAGTGGAGTTAGAGGGCCGGGAATATAATTAGTGACCTCACTGATTCTATTATGAAACTAGGAAAGATTGGACTGTGACATTTGTGGAAGAATCGAAAATACTATTGTTTCTAGGCTTGCCTGGTAAGGCTTGGGTTTATGTGGTTGAAGTTAGTGTTTGCTTCACAACAAATGCTTGTCAGCATCAAATCTTTGTGCTGTCAGCAAGTTCTCCTAATGCAATTTTAGTGTATTATAAAAATTGGAAAATGCTTATACCAAGATAGAATACAGCGTGTTTTCTCTCTTCATACACAATGTAGCTTTTAACTGGGTTAGCCAATTATTTTGTTTGCAAGAAAATTAAAACAGTGGGCAAGCAAGACTGAGGAGGAGGTGGCTTAAAAAAATGGTCATTTTCAGCTGTCGTGCTGCACCAGGGGCTTCCACTTCCACAACTGAGTTGAATGTTAGCTGTTTGTGTGATCTCTAGCAGGGTTTACATACCCTTCTACTACTGATTTAAGAGGTGAAACATTTTTTCGTGATAAATGCTTTTTAACATACAGATTAGCAGCCTTGTTTTGAGTCTAGCTTAAACAAAATTGTTTAACAGTGAGTTTTCATTAACAGTTGTATTATTCTGCGATACAATACATGCGCAGGTTACTCTATCCAGTTAGGAAAAAGTCTGAGTTTCCTTCTAATGAAATACCCTCAGCCAGAGGCAGCAGGATGCCATCTCTCTTTCCCTCAAGTTTTCATTGCTTCATAAATTAGCCAACACTGAAGACACCAGCTGTGCTTTCTCTGAGCAGCCATCTTTTAGCTTTGATTGGCACGTAACCCAAATGCCAAGCTGTAAGTATGGCCTTTCTTGTTGTAAAGTGTATCTTGACAGGCAATAGTAGTGAAGCTCAGGTTCAGACCTGTCTGGAAATGGCCCATGCAGCAGAAATTAAGCAATAATCATTTATCTGGGGATTATGATCCTTTCACCAGTATCTAAATATAACTGTGTATAAAAATGAGAATGCAAATATTATATGTAGTTACAAGAGGAAAGACTGTAAGAGGAATGAATGGAAATCCATCTTGCAGTAGTAGTTACGGATTCTAAGTATTATTCTGTAATAGCACTGGTGAGTGGTTGAAAACTATTTGTTAAATAATGCATCCAATTTCGTCTGTTACAACACATCGTATTTCTCCATGACTGCTTTCTAAATGGTATTTTTAATAATTCCAAGTCAGCTAAGACTATACTTATTAATACTTCATCTTTGCATTTTCACTTTCTTTCTGGGGCAGCCCTTCAGGCTGAGAAGTGCTGTGCTTTGAGATACGATCCTTGTTATTTCCATCCTAGATTGGGCACTAATTTGCAGTGTTTGTCACACATTATTCATTATGAGGTTTGGCACCAGTGCAAAAACAGTGTAACGCCAAGAGCTGAGTGCACTGCAGCTGCCGCAAAGCCAGGAAGCGGTGTTCCTGACAGCGTTGTATTTCAGCGTATAGTTAAAAGCATGAGAAGATGCAATTATAGGGCTAGATCTGCAATGCAGGGAAAACCACAGGCTCCTCACAGCGCTTTTCTGAAGGGCAAATGGAGTCTTCCTTCAAAAGTGAATAGGCTTGTGTTTCCTACAAATCTGGTGTTGATTCACTGCAATTATATATTGTAAAGCATGGAAATGAGGTTGGGTTTTCTTTTTTCATTTCTGAAGTACTCGGTGTCCCCGCCACTGAGGGAGTTTAAGGCAGTGAGCAGATACATATTTTAGGGTTCTTTTGTGTGTGTGTGTGTGTGTGTGTGTGTAGTGGCTGAATGAGGGGTGCCACATCTGTCCCAAGGGTGTAGGACACACCTGGCTGGGTCAGGCTCTGTCTGGCTCTGTGTCCTGCCTCCATGATGGCCAAAGGGGATGGGTGGCGTGGGAGCCCCTGGCGGTACTCTTCTGGGGCACGCATCCAGCCCTCTGCGGGTCTGAAACAGGTCACGGATGTGCCAATGTGCCCTTTGAAGGCAAGAAGTGGCCACAGGATCCTGCGGCAGCGGTTTGCGCTGTCCTGCGCTGCCGCCCTCCGCCGTTGTCTTACTGGGGGAAGGCTGTCACGGGAGTGCGAGCGGAGCAGCCTTTCTTAGACCAGCCTGGGGAGGGCTCTCGCCAAGCACCTGAGCGGCACCCATACCCCCCGCTCCATCTTCGCCTACCACCCTCCTCCCCGTCGGAGGACTGACTCGGCTGGCTGAGTGGGGCGGCGCTGCAGGCTCCGCGGCGGCGCTCTGGGCGCGCCGCGGCGGCCTCTATTGTACCATCGGTGTGCGTGTGTGTGTGTAGGGACTGCTTCCGCTTCCGCTGCCCTTGCTGCCGGCGGGAGGTGACGGGACCGGGAGGTGACGGGACCAGGAGCCGCGATGTGGCGGAACCTGCTGGTGAGGGTGCCGGGCCGGCGCAGGCCGAACGGCAGAGGGGAAGGGAGGGGATAGCAGCGCAGCGCAGCGCAGCCTGGCGCGGCAGGGCGGGTAGGGAGGGTTATGTGGGGACACGGCTCCATCAGGGGCTGTCGGCGCCCGCCCGGGCAGCGGGACTCGGCTGCCCGGTGACCTCCCTGCCGGGCGCTGCCTCCGGGTGCTGCTGGAGGAGCCTTTCGGGAGAGAGGAGTGGGGGGAATGGGGAGCACGAGGGGAGGAAGTGTTACATTTCGGATCCTGGCCCGCTCGCTCCACCTAGTGCCGAGCTTTGCGTCCTTGAAGGGGTGAAAGTTGAGTCTGGGGCACCCTAAGCCCGTCTCTAATGAGGTAAGCTGGTATTAGGGTGGGTGACGGGGGGAGGTGCATTTTTCCCTTAGTGGCAACTGGCATCGCCCGGATGTTTGCGCTATGGCCGCTTTGGTGGTGGTGGTAATTCTGTGGAGGAGGATCGGCGTTACCAGTGTAGGCTGAAGGAGACTGGGCTGCGAGCAGCTTAAGAGGTACAGCTGGCTCTTGCCTTTGAGACGTGACCTGTTGCGAAAGCAGACTTTGAGCCACCGGGAGGATTACAGATCATTCGGTTTGGTGGCCTGACCCGTGCTTACTAGCACTTGTATGGTCTGCCTATGGAAACAGTTCCTGGCTGAGGACACCGCAGGGTGCCTTTAAACTGGGAGAGGGGGGGAATAAGGGGAGAAGTGTCTTCTTCAGCTCTGTGAAGGTGAGCTCCTGTGCTGGCGGCCAGCAGGTGAACTGCAGCTGCGACAGGAGATCCTTGTCTGCGGAGACGTGTCTTAAATACTGTCCCCATCGCTAGAGTCAGACACAGTAAATGGTGCCTAAAACTCAGATCTAAGCGGCAGAGGTCGAGATTTTCTGAAAGAGGATACTAATTATGAAGGTTATGCTGTAGATCCATAAATCTGCTGTATCTTATTGAAAGTAATTTCCCTGAGTTCTCCGTTTTTAGGTAATCAGTCCTTTACATAGTCTGTTGAAAAACTGACTGAATACGGAACTGGGGGTGGGGTGGTGAAGTTTTGCTTGCTTGTTTGTTTGAGACCTTCTTCCTCTCTCTTCGATTTCTATCTCACCTTTAAAGAAACTGTTTCTACCCAGTTTGAATGTAGGTGAAAAATGACACTGTTTTTAGAAAACTATTTATCTTTTATTTCAGGGTCTTCGCCAGATTTCCCAGAGGACCATAAGTACTGCTTCGCGCAGGCAGCTTATAAATAGAGTTCCTGAGAAGCAGAAGCTTTTTCAGGTAGGGAATGAGCACTAATAGTAGGATAATGTTAAAAGAATAACACTGCTTTAGTAGATCATCATTGTGTGTGTTTTGTTTCAAAAGAACTGTTGAGAGTCCTCTTTACATCTGAGAGGTGAGGTTTTGAAATCTGTAGTGTGACTACAGTGCTTGAATATGGCAGTTATTTCCTACAGAGATGAAGAGTATTTGTAAATCCATACTTGACTTCTGACTCTTTAGGTTATTTTACTCTGTGAAATGATTTGTACCTAAGTTTCTTATGGGCAGTAAATGCTGTACATAAATAAAGACAAAGTACTCTAAAATGAGATGAGATGGGGGAGTATGTCCTAGGAACAAGTAGTGAAAAACAGCGAGAGGACAGAAGTACAATGAAAAGTTAAGCCTGCAGTCTTGCAGCTATATCCACAGCTCATAGGTGAACCCCAGAATTCTTAATGAGGATGTCATATTATTGTATTTCTCTGTTGTAAAAGCAGTAAAGGTCTTAAGGGATTGGATTCACTTAAAAAAAAATATTGAATCTTTAAATGTAACTTCTGAGTTACTCTTTTCCTGATTGATAGGGCCACCTAGTGAGAACCAGTGGTTCTTCAAATGCCAAAGGAGGGGATACTCAAAAGCATACTCCCAGCTGTGAGCCATAACCTGGAGCAGTAGCTTTGTACTGAGGATAGACTAGACTGGGCTTCAGCGATGTGAAAGGGCTAGAAGCCTCAGTGTAATAGTTTTTGTGTCTTGTTGCTTTCCTTCCAAATGAAGGAGAAAGCCAATCATGTTGGGACACTGCCTAAGGAGCACAATGTTCATTGCAAGCCAAGAGGTAGTGGGATGTTGATGATGGGTGAGGTCAGAGGTTCTGTTTCTGCTGGAGGTCTCTTCCTCCTCACATTCCTTTCTTGGACAGCAAGGTGAGCTGGGCTGGCTTGCAAGTCACCAGCCTTGAAGGCCGGCTGCAGTTACAGAGCAGTGCAAACTTGCTTGAGAAGGGTAAAGATCACATAGATCCAGTGTTTAGGCATTTTACTTCATGTGGAGAAAAACATTTTGCTGTATGACAGAGAAATGACAGCAGGTGACAGTAGAAGCTCCTACCCTTGTTGCTCCCTGTAGCAGGGATTGACTAAGCTGGAGGTGGGAAGATTTTAGGGATGGTAGTTGTATCCTGGCGTCAGAAGTGTTTAGGCATCTGTCAGTCACTGCTTTAGAGATAAATGTACACATCAACTCTACTTCCCTAGTGAGTGATCATCTGGTACCAGAGCGAAAGTTTGGAAGACAAAGCCGAATCTAAATAAGGTGCAGTGTCTTTTGGTTGTTGGACAGATAATTTGGGGAAGTAATTCCTGTGTTGGGTAATTCTTGTTACATGAATGTGATATTGCAAGAACTGTATTTAAATAGTTTCTTTTTGCCCCTTGTTTCCATTAGGAGGATAATGGCCTCCCAGTGCATCTCAAAGGTGGTGTAATGGATAATGTGTTGTATAAAATCACCATGGGTCTCACAGTTGTTGGTAAGGCTAATACTAAAATATTTATGCTACTTTTTCTTTGGTACAATCTCCAACATGACTGGTGTGCCCTCTGTAAATAGTTATGCAAGTCTTTCAGTCTGTTCTTCAGAATATGCAAAATGCATGTAGAGGGGGGAAAAAACAAACTATGTGATTATCCTAAATATATATATCTGTGCTTTCTCAAGTTCAGCTTTTCAGATGGCTTTTTTTCCCCGACTGATAGTCCTATGGGCTGAATACTCCTTCAGAATTCATGTGTGGTATTACGGAAAACTAGAACTACTTGCAAAGCTTATTCTGAAAGGAGTAAAATGTAATTACAGCACACACATACGCCAGGTTTCTCACTAGCCTAACTTCTTTCAGTGCTGGGCAATACTTGTTATGCTGAGATTTCATGTGCTGTGAAAGCTTGTGGAATATATCCAAGCTGCATGATACTGCATATATTTAACCTTTATGTTGCTTGATAGATAATTTTGTGGTACCCTCTAACTTAAATATGTTGATCTGATAGATTTTCATTTCAGTTGCTTTAAGAATGAGTAACCATTACTTCATGATTGTCTGTGTAGGTTCCACAAATATGCCTCTCCCCCTTTTTTATTTTCCTGTCCTTTATGCAGTCTATGGAGAAGTATTTAAGGATTTTTTTTTTTCCCTAAAACATAAATTGTTCCCCCTGCTCCCCCGCCCCCTCCCCCAAAGTAAAAATCATGGAGACCTGGCTATGGAAATTTGTTATGTCTGAATTCCAGCTGTTTATTGTCAGCATTTCTTTTTGGAAGAAACTGGGAAAAGAAAGCTGACTTGAAAGGAATTCTTTTACCTCTCTGAAGATAACTTTTCTTTGTCTTTTTTTCAGGAACAGTCTATGTTTTTTATGTTCTGACTGTCGCTTCAATGCCCAAGAAGCAGAAATGATTCCAGTTCAAGATGCCTCAGTGGCTAGCATCTCTTCGTCCAATTCCATGTGACTATGATGGGAGCTTATAAGCAGCTGGCTTAAAGCTTGGGATCATAATTTAACTGTAACATGTTAACTGCAATCAATAAAGCAGTTTTACATGGTGGTGTGGTGGTTTGGACTGTATTGTGTGTAAACATCTTTGATCATAGGCTTGCCAAGCTGGTGGAGAGGGCTTTACACTCAAGTTGCTAGGGAAGGCAACCCACCATCCCACTCCTGCCAGTTTGATGCCAGTGCCAGCAGATGCCCAGAGCCTGGAGTGGGATCACAGGTCAGCAGGAGAGCACCTGAAGTACAGTACAAAGGAATTCCAGTCACTCTGGCCAGTAAGTCAGCTTCATCAGGGACCAGCTTAAATGCCTCTGTGCAAATGCACATAGCATGGAGAGCAAGTGAGAGGCTTTAGAGATGTGCACATGCCTGCAGGGCTATGATCCTGTTGGCACCACAGAGACAGGCTGGGATGGCTCCTGTGATGGGCGTTACAATGGAAAAGTGCAGCCATGCTCATTAGGAAGGACAGGCAGGGGAAACAAGGTTAGTTTTTACTGTGTAGAGGTAACACTGTCCTCTGCATCTGTAAGTAGTCTCAGTTGGGTTCAGCACCTTCATTTTATACATTTTTGTCTAGAGGCTTTTCTCTGCTACAGCTTAATGGAATGTCATATTTCCTGAAAAGAATGAAGATTTCTAAGCTCAGTAAACACTATGGTTTCTGGGATTGCTGTCAGTTCTGCTCCAGTGTCATTACTGCTGCGTCATTCCAAGCTTTTTGGCAGCAATTTTAACTGTGTGCCTTAAGTTAGGTTATGTACCTTAACAATAACTTGGTTGAGGAGTGTTCACGAGCAGAACTGTGACAGCTCTCTGTATGCAAAGACACAACAAATGGCTGATAACGCTAACGGTTTGATCATGATCCTTTCCAAAGTTGTCTTCTTTCGGTGGCGAGGGGGTGTGTATTAGCTTGCTATGAGACTGACAGCCACAAATAAAACTGGAGAGCCATCATTGTCTTCGGAGGAGAAAAAATTGTGGTCTAGAATTAGGCAGGGATACCCAGTAATGACTATTAGCTGCTGTCATGTACTTAGGAACAAGCCTTATATCTGAAGCAGCTAATGCTGTCAGTGAAAGTGCCTGCTCTATGATAACTGCTTCTAGGAAGTATACCTGGATATCTCTTACTAGTTTGACTATTGCAATTATGTGGAAGGACATCTCTGGGAACCAGTGTTAGCTGTGCATCCCTAGTTAGGTTTTATGTTCCTAACACCATTGTGCTTTTTGTAGCCTTTCTTCCACAAGTTGCTACTTATGGGTTATTGCACTGAAAGTCTGGTGTTTACTCTGCAACAAATAGAGCTTCTAAATCCGAGAACATCAAAATAATTCTTTTGTTTCTCTTCTCAAGGAAACAGTGGGTTTTCCAAAATGTGAAAATTAGCACGAAAATCTGGTTTCCCACTACAGCACTATTTTAAGCCTTTTATGGGTTACGTTTGTTTAGAGCTTTCAGTTGCTATCCTGGAGAACCAGATTATGCTTGTTAAACTTGAGGCAAACTGGAAAAGAAGGGCCAGTGTACTCAGAACTCTATAGGAGAATCAAGAATCTTAAAAAAGAAGAGTGGGGGAATACCCCTGATGGTAAACTGTCTGCATAGGTGGGTTTGGCCAGCTTCATGACCAAAAGAGTAGGAACTGCCTGGATGGATGTCCCAGAAGAAGGTCTGGGACATGGGGTACAGTTTATCTGGGAAGGAGCATTAGTGCCTAAAAGGATGAGAAACCTCACAGCACAGTGAGCTGTACTTCACAACATGCAAAATAATCAGTCTGCTCTCTTGTGACGCTGGTAAAGCTTCAGCTCCTACCATGTGCCCAGGGTTACTACCAAGATGTGGATCAAGTGGTGGGCATCTGGAAGGCAGCGTAAGGAAAGATCAGAATCTTTAAAAGCCTACATCATTTCCCACCCGCAGGAATTGTGATGAATCTTGAAAGAAGAACAATTGTTTGAATAACAGAAACCCTGCGATGAGCTGGGTGGTAAACGTGCATTTCTGTGTGCAACTGAAGCAGAACGTGCAGCCGCTGTTCTTGCAATCAACCGCATCTCAGAATCTGCTGTCTCAGGAATGTGTTGGCTCGCAAGCTATGCTGTAGGCAGCAGCCCTCGCGGGAGGGCACGTCGGGTAAATGCAAGCATTTAAATGAAAGACAAAAAACTGCTGTGCTGCCTCCGAGGGCTCACGGGGTGGCGTACGCAAGCCATGGGTCTGCCAGCATGTCTGGATCTTTTCTGCTGCAGGAACAGTAGGAGGACAAAACCAAACAAGACCCACAGTCAGCTGCTCAACACCATTTTCTGGGACTGCATTACAAAGCTAGCGGGGAAATTCCCAGCTAACGGTTCCCTCTGTATGTGTAATTTGTTGCAGGCATGCCCGCATCCCAGTCTGCCAGAAGGTGTAAACTAAGCGTCCATATTGCCTGTACTGTCTTTGGGAAAATGCAAAAATAGGGCTATGCATCTTCTGTAGGGCTAAAAATTACCATAAAGTGTTTGGAAGTATCTGAAGATCTTCAATCTTCCTCCTGACATTTTATGAGAAGCAGAAAATAAAACAAGCAACATCTATTACTCCTTGCTAATGTGAAGAAATGATCCATTAAAAAAAAATTGAAATGGTTGGTGTTATGAAGTCATAGACTGGTAGCAGTTAACACACCCAAACTGTGAGCTCTTCTTGTCTGATTCTACTACTGTAGTGCTCAATTACCATCCTTAAATCAGTATTTTCTGGAGTTAGGTATTATACTGATATACAATATTGCTCCCTTACTGCTGTCCTACTTCTGATTTGTCTTTAGGCAATACATGTGGTATCTTCCGCAAAAGACATTTCCTGTAAACTTTACTTTCAGATTCATGTAAAATTTATTTTTCAGTTACTTTTATTAGAAATGATAGCTATGAGGTTTTTCTATATTTTGCTTTAAAGGATGGGAAAACCTCCTGGAGCTGAGGACACAGGAATGCTGTCCTGGCTTCCTGAGCTGGGTTGTTTTAATTGTCACTCCAAAAACATGGGGGGAATTTTCTGCTAGATAGGCAATGAGTACTCCATCTCTTCCATTTCCCCCTATTTTGCATTATTTAAGCTTTTAAAGTTATATGGCTTGAAGGTTAACAAAGGTTAGTAATGTGCCAGCTTTGGCAGAATGGAAAAAACCCAGCAACTTGTTTTTGCTACTGTAAGAGAAATAACAATTCAAACAATAATCAGATTAAACAGATAAAGATTAAATCCTCAGTATTGCAGTTCTAGGTTACACAATCCTTTCTGAAACTCCAGATGTACACGGTTTACTTTGTCACTTTGGAAGCTAGCTCAGAACTATCTGCTCTTAGAACTGTGCCCTGGGCTACGTTTTCTTGGCTGCTGAATATAAGTGTAACTCCAATTAGCCTGATGCTCATAAGCATTTCCCCAGTAAAACTCTGAGGACTAACAGTATCATAGCACTGGCTTCCTAAAAGACACCATGAGAAAAGTTCAGAAACCCTCAGAAATAAAAAGAAAACACCAGAGAGGTCTCAAAGAGCACAATGTTACCTGTACTTCCCTTTCTTTCTTTTTGGAGATCTCAGAGTAAAAACACCACTTCTCTCACCTTTGCTGTCAGTGCTCTGAGCTATGAGGAAGTGTGATGATAGGGTGTTTCTGCATCTTTCATATTAAGCAGCCCTTCCTTAATCACCCAGGGTTTCCCAATCCAGTTATGCATCAAAATGCTGGAGGCTGACCTTCATCATAGCTACTAGGGTGAATCAGACTTCCAAAGACAAAATCAATCTGATCAACCTGACTTGACCCTAAATAAGGTAGTCAGGGGATGAGTAAGTCAAAACAAACGTATCTTTTCATGTGCATGCTTGTGCAATTATTTTTTTAAGAAGTTCCTTTTAACAATATCAGCACCTTCTCCGGTCTGACTTGTCTGAGACTTTCCACTTATTTTTTCAGCATTCGGTCAATTCTGCTGTAAAAGTAATGGTTTGTCCAGAAGTGCAATCTGAGGAGAATCCCTTGGCTGCACTGTACTTTTACTGAATGTGAATATACTAGTCTTCAAAGTTGGTGGGCAGCACACACAGAATGTGATACATTTTGGTCTTGTCTCAGTATTTCTCAAGAGCTGCTCTTATTATTCACAGGTTTTCTATCAGACTAACTGATCACAGGCTTCCCTGAAACACACGCGAAGCTAAAGCACGTTGGTATCTATTTTCTCAGAAAGAGACGTCCTCACAACAAAAAAAAAGTAAATGGCCCTGATTCCTGTTTATAAATGTTGTGGCAAGCCAGATTCACTCTTGGGGGCTGGGAGGTACTTGAGAGAAGTGTGTTATCCCACTGAGTTCCCAGTCAGGCAGTCCTAGTTTTAGCTCCTTGGGGAATACCATTATCTGTAGTCAGTTCACAAAATACTCCCATGGCATACAGCCTGTTGTGTCCTACAGAACGCTGCCAAAGAGGAATGAATTTCTCCTTTGGTAATGTGTTCCTTTCTTTGAGTTCTAATCCACAATCTGAACTTTCTGAAACATAAGGATGTTTCCTATGTCTGGTTTATGTGGTGTATGTTACTATCTTTTCTCTCCCTCACTGTTTTATTGTTATGTTACTAGCTTTGGTATTTTCATTAGTGAAAACGTCTGTCTCTTGTCTTGTTGTGTCTTTGCTGGCTGCAGAAAAGTAAGATGCATGTCCTGAAATAAACTGGAAAGGGATGCTGTCCTAAGATCCGGTAGTATTTATGCTTTACACATACCAGAACATGGGAAGGAACTGCAATGGAAAAGACCACAGGAGGTTCCTACTCCCAAATTAATATTCCTCTAAGAACTTCTATGCAAATCCCCTGGAATCACTCTCATCAATGTGATGATAACATTATGCATAGATACTCAGAAATGCTTTGGGGAAGAAAAGAGAAAGAGGTAGATTTGGTGCTGGCAGAGCTTGTCTCACATGTTGAGGCAGTTTGTTCCCAAGAGCAGCTCCTGTTCCTACAGGTGTGCTATGAGGAACTTGTTATTTCATCGGGACCTTTAAGCTACAAATGTGTTCTTTAATTGAATTATGTATGTTTATTTAATATCTAACTGGTTCCACATTGTTTCATCTCCGCATGAGCACTTACTCTGGATGACTAATGCCCTGGGACTTGAAGTTCATAATGGAAAGGCTGTCACACACATGCAATCTTATCTACCATAACACTATGCAAAAGGCAATTATATAATTAAAACATTTTAATGATCTCTATTGCTCAGTGGGAAGTTACAAGTCCCAAAGGAGCCAGGCCAAATTTGTTATCAAGGTTTATTCAGTCATCTCTTAGGAGCAGTAGGGCACATTTTGCTAAATATAGTTCATTTGCTAATATGTGCCATGTGTGGAGCATTGCACTGGGACCACTGTGCCACAGAGCTGGAGCGCAGTGCACCAGGAGGTTAGTACACCTTCTCCCTTTGGCTGGGACTTTCAGAAATAAGAGCCTAAACTTAGACTCCTAAAATCCATACCCAGACATTCACACAAATAGCCTGATTTTTTTCAGAAGAGCAATACCAAGAAATTCTCTTCTACTAAAATCATAAAATAGGAAAAAATCTTACAACAACAAGAAGAAAGGATTTTATTATTTCTGGAAATAATACTCAAATATATGGCCAGATTAATGGGAAAAGAAGAGGGGAGACACAACTTTTGTTTACTCCTGCTTAATTAGTTATGGGGTGTAAATACAGTTTCTGAAAGGAAGTCACAAAACTTGGGAGTGGTACAGGAGAGACATCAACTATATGGCTAGGCAGTAAAAGCTGCATATGGTGTATTTTACAGAGTTGGGCAGGAACCTCTGTCACAATCTTAATCTCTCCATTCAGGTCTCAGATCCAAAAGCAGATGGGTGGAGAGTGGAAATCACTACTATTTAAACATCTGTTGGTCACCATCAGGACCATTTGCTGGGCTCATTCTGGTTCCCAGTAAACAGGTATTTACATGAGCAGGCTACAGAGCAGCAGGAGACTTAGCTGACAAAAATATGAAGTTGAAAAGTAAAAGCACTCAATCCAGTTACCTAAACTTAGGTTTAGGCACCATAGCACCATCTCAGGCTATATTTGAGGCACTTGCTTGGGGCTGGCAAATACAACAGAGGAGCTTCAGGAGACTTGCACACTTGTGTAATAGCACCTGGGAGCCTGTGGCACCCAAAACAGCACCGAAAACAGCACCGGGCTTTGGGTCCTAAGTGTGTCCTTTTGGGTCCACTTCTGCTTCCTAAGTGGTCTAGTACAGTTCAAGATGTGTGTATGTGGGTCCTCAGTGGTAGCTGGCAGCTTCACAAGAGGTCTCAGGTGCTACAAGGTGCTTAAACGTCTCTAGAGCCCAGTGTGAAAGCAGCTGAGCCAAGCCCTGTGGATGGTGGGTAGCTAAACTGCTCAGGCACTGATGAGTTCATTAACTAGATCTTCATCAGCCAATGCAGAAGTTTAGATGCTGGGCTCACATGCAGGCACCTAAATGTGTCTTAACTCAGAGCCAAATGCCACCTGAGGTGACCATGCAGGACAGAGTAATGGGTGCAGCTGATGATCTCAAGCAGTAAAGCTGTGATGGTGGGGCATGTGTCAAGAAGCACAACCCCTGCCTGACTTCTCGGCTTCTCTGGAGGTTAGAGAAGCAGATTCTGTAGTTTTTATTAGCAAATAAGGTCCTAACAACTACTCCTAGCATAAAGAAAGGGGCCTCATCTTGCAGCTGCTGCTGGTTTTAACTGGGAAAGAAGATCATGGTGTAGTAAAGCCCCATGTTGTAATGGGCCTTAAGCAGCTTGTTATCACCTAAATACATTTCAAAGAGCAGTGGGCAGAGGGTAAAGGAGCAGCAGGTCAGATTTACCAGTTGAACATTTGCACTTTAGAAAATGGAATAACAAAGGATGGAAAGAACCTGGGTGGTGTCTGAGAGTGTAATTTTGTGCTTTAAAAACAATTCTTTAAAAATTCTAGGCAGTTTATATATATATATTTTTTTTTTTTTTTGCAAAACAAATAAGAGGCACTGGAGTTAGTAGCAACCATGTTTCCCCAGAGGCAAATATATTATAATGGAAATCAGGACAATGCCAAAACCAAGACAAGTTCAATAAACTGGATGGCTAAAAACTAACAGAGTAGTGTGGCCAGCTGGAAAGCAACCAAGGGAGCAGAGAAAAGGGCATATGAAAAATGACATTTTAACAGCTTCTTGTGAAGCCTCTCTGCAGGCTGTAGAGGTGATGATACACAAGAGAGACACTGAACTCCAACAGGTGAAAAAGCCTGTCAGCGAAGAGTGGGCAGGAGCTTTCAAGTAATTTTTAAGAGTAGAAAAAGCCCCCAGTAGTTTTCTGTTTACACAACAGAATGCTTCTGATACTGACGCACAGGGCAACATCTATTTATAATCCAAATAAATCTTATGTTCTGGTATTTGGAACTATCAGCATTCAACATACTGGAAAGCAGCAGCCACAAGGCTTCATTAAGAAATGCTGTAATGCTGTTTTAATCTGCATTGTTTTGCTCTGTGTGTTTTCCTCTTCAGTCATTATCCAATCATGACTTGTGCAAAAGAAACAAATTTCTTTTTTTAAAGTAGCTCATGTGGAGTTCGTAAGTGTCCTGACAGGTAATCCCTAGGCAGTGCTCTTAATGCCCGCAAACTAAACTCTTGCCTGACTTTTTTTTTTACAAGACCTCAAACTTTCCATGTGTCCATCAATACCTGTGATAGATGACATGCATGGAAGTATCTGCTTGGGTCCTGTCTATTTGCTGGCCATGTCCTGGCCCAAAGCTTGCCTCTTGTGTCCTTTCTTTTGGAGAGGTAAGAGCTGTGGTGAATGCCACAGCCTGCCAATCTGGGTATCAAGGCACTGAGATTGGAAGGGTGGGGGAACGGGGAAGCAGGAATGATGATGATCATGGAGTCCATCTCTCCTGAAGTTTAGAAATGGTCAAAGAATTACATGAGTGTCAAGTGCAGACATACTGTAACAGCAGTATGTGTTTAGCAAGGCTGGTGGGGGCTGTATGTCTGGAAGTCACATGTAGGAGGGAATCTCCCAGTCCTGGTTCTTTGTTCCCAGGGAGAAAGTTTGCAGAGATGCCAGTAAAGCAGACAATTAATTTTCCTTGCTAAACTGAAACTATTTTTGTGGAATTATCCAAACATAAAGGCTTCTCTGGTGTACGTTTTTCTTCCTAAATAATTTTTTCTTTCATTTCAGAATAGACTTTTACTCTGTCGATCTAACTTATTTCTGACAGCTGTGCTCATAGTCCAGCTATGGACAACATGCAACTCACCTAGAACAAGTTATTATCTGTTGTCAGCCACTAGGAAACAGTTCCCCAAAGTGTGCTGTTAGTACTTCAGTATGATTTTGAGGGTTTCTCTTTGAAGCCCTGGTGTACTTTAAATAATGGGGGATGAACTAAATGGCCTCTCAGGATCTTTTCCATCCTCATTTACGATGGTTCTGTGCATTTGTATTGGATTCACTTGTCAGAGTGTTTAAGCTTTTGAATGTTTGTCTTGCTGAACTGACAGGAAGTTTGCGGCTGACCTTTACGTCCTCTAAGCCTTCTTGGAAAGATGTATATGGGGAGAAAGCGAAGCAGCAGCTGATTATTCCCCCTTCATAGCTTCCCTCTGACCTGCTCCTCAGTCAGGGAATCACAGCATGCTCTATACTCAGTGCCTTTTGTGCCAGTGGGGGAGAGAAGGAGAGCATCAGGGGTTGGCCTGATTAAGATTCTCCCATTTCATTTATTATTCCACTGTCTGCCACAATGGGACCAGGTCACTCATTAGCTAATACAACTTGAACCTTTAACACTTCTGGATTCAGGTACAAGCTTATATTCACCATAAGCCTACTTACCACCTAAACAGACCCTGCTGTCATAATATATATTTATATTTTATGACATAGAAGTACAAACAAAAGTTAGCAAAATGTTCCTATTCAGAGCTTGGCACGCCACCATTTCAGACTTTGCTGCTGATTAATATCGTGTGCTACTTTGTAGGGAATAATTACATTGAAATAGTTGAAGGGTTACCAACTGTAGGGGAACCCATGGCTATTAACCTTTCATCATATGTGGAATCCAATTAAGTACTCAGAGAACATGGTGTTATAGAGTTATGCAAGTAGCAGATAGTGACTTTTAAAAGTGTTTTGATTTTTAAAAATGATGTGTTTCCTCAGTGTATGTTCTTTCACTGCAGACCCCTCAGCCACATGGAGAAGAAGAATGCTTAGACCAGCATCTGCAAGTCTCTGTGGCTAGTCCATAGCTCTGATGGGAGCAGTTGTGTTAAGACATAATATGATACCTGATAAATATCCAGGGTCACTGTCCTCAATTTATTTTCTTGCCCTCTTTAATCAAGCAAGATCTGTACCGGCTTCGTTAGGGAATGCTTACTAAATAGATCAAGATTCTGTTGTGAAATAAAGAACCAGCTTCTTTGAAACAAAGCAACTTAATTTAGGAATGTTTTGATATAAACTATGTTTGTGTGTATATATGGAAAGGACTATAAAATCATTGCATCTATTTTTTTTTCAATTTTAGTATTAAAAATCTGATATCTTTAAAAAATGAAGGCCTACAAATTAACTGGCTTTTGTAAGACCAAATCATTTTAAAGGGCCAGTTCCTTTCTATTTATACTTCTGCTTTTTAATGATTTATTTGCTTTTCTAGTTCTATTTATTTGGAGCCACAATAATTTCTTACTTTCAGAGCATTACATGATGGGAAAAATCAGTTAGAGAAATTAAAGAAATAAACAGTTGCTAAGAAAAACATACCTGGTGAGGCAGATAATTATTTCATGGCTGTAATACTCTCCAGGGACGCTGCTTCCATAGTTGTTCCACTAAATGAGTAGGTTTCAGATAGGACTAGTCCTCACTGCTAATATAAGAAGCCATTCCTCATTATGAGAGGTCAGACTAGTACTGCTCTCTGAATACCAGCTCTGAAATGAAATTATCCAAACAAACAAACACCAGACTGAGTTCCTCTCATGCCATTGACTGGAAACCTCTTGGAGAAGGGCAGGGCCTGAAGGAAGCCGTTTGCTGTATTTTGTCCTCCATTTTATGGATGCAGATACAATACTGTGCAACATTAACTCTATGACTGATTTAATAGGGAATATATAAAATACATTGGAAAGCTGTCCTTTGTGTTGTAAGGAATGAATGGGCCTCCTAAATGACTGTGCTAAGATAATGGAAATGATATTCAAGGTTTAGCGTGCTGAAATGCGGAATGTCCTATTTTATTCTGTCCTGGCAATGCAGCCTGAGGAAACAAAAAAAAGATGCCAGAAACACAAAGTAGCTTGAATTACTCTAGACCCCAAACCAGCTCAAAATTTCTAAGACATTCCAGGTTACCTGCAATACTAATATCACATACCTATACCGGAAATGGCCAGTATTATTACAAGCATAACTATTAATTCAAATCTTGATTTTTGTAGTTAAATTTGTCACTGTTTCAATTTATTCAGCTTAGATAGCAAAGAAAATTGCAGAGTCGGAGTGCACGGTCTTAATGTGTTTAACACTTGTCTAAGAAACAAGCAGACAGGAGAGTGTTAGTAAATGTTTATGCATTTCAGAAATGCCTTCTGCATCACATACTATGTACTCAGACTATGAATGTACATAGCAACAGAGCTGATTGAAAACAACCCATTTAATTATGTTGACGTATGGAAGGACACACTCTAAATGCAATTCACTGATGTATTTTACATGGAAAAGACCTTAGGATAAATATAGTTAGAATAGTTAGAACAAAGAGTTAAAGACAAGAATGAAATCCTGCTGCCCTTGGAGCCAATGCATTATTTGTTCTTGCCAGCTCTAAGTCTTAATTCACACAGGGACATTAAACATAGCTGGGCAGCTGAGAGGAATGGGAGATGGTCCCCTCAGCAGCTCTCAGTCTGTGAGGGAGGCTGTATGAGATTATCACACCTCTGACAGACCCATTGGTTTCAAAGTCTCTGCTCATATAAATACAGTTGTAGATTTGTAGCAAATTATTTAAAGATTTTAAAATAATTGTTCTGTGTGATTTATCTTTTAAATATAATACTACATATTTTCTTTTACTCGTTATTTGCATTGATGTTAACTATTGACATAGAATCTCAGATATCCTACAATGAAAAACTCCACAGTACATTGTAAAAAAATACCTAACTTGTATTAGTTAAGTTAGGATATATGGAAGGATATTTCATTGTAACCCTTTACGTCCATTCTTCGGAAATTATTGTTCACGCCACATTTATATTGGTGTTCTTGGTGGTTTCATTCAGGAAATTAAATTGAAAATTAAAATAGTATTCTTTCTTAGAAATAATGCTTTTATGTATGAAATTTGGATAGGAAGAAATTAAATTCCTCATGCCGAAATGCCAAAAGAGAAATTCCAACTCAACAGCTGGGCAAGGATGTTAATAGGTCAAGAGTATTTGAAAGTTTATCAGCGAATGAGATGCTGCTTCTGGAAAGTGCATTTTATCAATACCAGACAGCTGAAGCTGTGGCATGTCCCCGAGAGTAGCTGACTCGCTTCCAAAGTGTCTGGAAATGCCAGTGCATGGCTTCTGGCGGATACTTTCCAGCTTTTGGGTTCTCATGCAGATGACTGGCTTGGTACAGAAAAGGACCACCTTATTCAGCTCAGGGGAGACAAGTCCTCCCCTTGACATGTCCTTAATCTCCCAATCCTGTGAAAAACTGTCCCGATAAACTATCAATCCCCACTGTCTAGCCCTTCCACCCAGGCTGAAACTTGCCCTACTTGCTCTGCAACTCACGTCTGTGCTTGAAGCTGACACGGGACCAACACGACCCTGAAATCTTATCGACCTCTCCAAACAGGGGCTGGGAGTTTGTCCGGTGTTGCCCCCTCCCCGGCCTTCCCGGTTTTGTTTTCCTTGCCGCCCCTTCCTCTCGTAAACTGTTTTCTAACGCCAGTGACCCGGGGAAGCCTCTGCCCGGGAAGGGCGGGACGCAGCTAGTGCCCTTCGTCGCCGCCGGAGGGCGGCCCTGCACCGCGAATGGCCCGGCGGCGGAGCCGTGAGGTACCGCAGCGGCTCCCCCTGCAATCCGCTCCAAGACTAACTCTTCTCCCCATCCCGACTGTGCCGACCCGCTCCGCGGGGACGGTGACACTCCGTGCTTTAGCGCGAAGGGGTCCCGGAGGAGCCTATTCTGAGAGCGTTACGGGGGATGCCGTTCCTCACGGGTGCGGGAGCAGACCCTTAGGGCTCGGAGCTCCCTGGAAGCCCTGTCTGGCTCCGGCGGAGCGACCGTCAGGGGACCGTGTGTCCTGCCGTGTCATCGTCGGGCACGGCGCGCTGCAGATGCCAGACCGCGCCGGACGCCGCGGGCAGGCTCCCGGGAACAAGCGAGGGGAAACCCTCGGGGAGCCTCTCGCCAAACAGGCTGCCCGGATTTGGAGGGTGCAGTTTCTTTTGGAAGCATACAGTTTCAGGCAGGGGGCACGGGCGTGGGTTTGTCCGCAGGGTGCAAAGGAGAAGGCTGTGGGGGCCTTACACCCCGTCTCCTCTGGCCCGGGGAGCCGCAACTGCTCCGCTACCGGCGGTGCTAAAGCGACACACCTATACGCTGAGGGGGGTGGTTTAACTTAGGTAGGAGGCACAGGATAAAGGCCAGACGCACCTGAACTGTGTCAAAATGACTACGTTCTTTTTGCCCCAAGGCTGCCTGCCGCAGCACCGGCGCTACCCGCGCTTAGCTGCACGGCTGTCCGGGGGAACGGCCCCGGGGAGGGAGTCAGCGAGGGGGGAAACACGGGGACTACGTGGAAACCCCCGCTCGGGTACACCTTCTGCGCCGCCGTCCCTCGAAGCCATACCCAGAGACTCAGTTTTTCCAACGCCCTCCCGTGTCCCCCGCCTTTGGGAAGCCGAGGCGGGAGAGAAGAAGGGAGGGGGCAGCGGGCCGGGCCCCTGCCTCCGGGCGCGTTGCCGCTGCGGCCGCCCGCCTCATGCCGCAGGAATGCGCGGAGGTATGCGCCAGTTTCCAGAAGTGGATCCCCTTCCTTGCTGGAGCAGAGCAGCGCATATATCACCCGGTGGCAGCAGTCCACCTTCCCTGCAGTTTCGTAACCGCTTACGAGGGTAAATTGAGAGTTGGGAACAGCCCTCTATTAAGTAGCAGATTGAGAAGAGGTTCTTCCCACTTGGAGAAGGCAAGTCTTCCCAGACAGACCCCTCGCAACGGGAGCTACAGCAATCCAGGCGCCTCCTCTGTGCTCAGCTATTGCCGCTGCTTCTCCTCCTCCTTCGCCGTCGCTGCTACGTGCTGCTCCCTCCACAAGGTGCCTCCGGCGCTTCATCCTTTCTTCTCCCTTTATCCAGGCCCGACGGCTGCTGCTGCTGCAGGCACCGCCAGAGGAGCTGCCCTGCCACCGGCTCCGGCCCCCTGCAGCCGCCCCAGAAGGTCTGTGCCCGCGCAGGAGCGGGGACCCCCTGCCCTCCCCTCGGCCATCCCCCTCTGCCTGCACGTACCCACCACGCACACAGCTCCTTATAAGCTTTATGGCTGAGGTTGGCAGTGCGGGCTGAAGGCTGGCACAGAAAGGTGGAAAGAGCGTCTCTGTGTCTCTGCGTGTGCGGGCTGGGCATGCCAGCGCCGGCTTGCGGGCGTGTGGCCGGCGAGGTGGAGGAGAAGCGCAGAGAGGAGCGCCCCGAGGGGCTGCTGGCTATCAAGGCCCCGGCAGGGCACTGGGGAGCCCTGCGGTGGCGGTGTCCCGGCCGCGGTGGCTCCCTCCGGTAGGAAGCTCCAGGCGGAGCCTGGTGTCAGCTCCCGGCGAGCCTGCAGGCAAGCTACTACTGCGGCTTTGGCAGGAGCTCTCGCTTCCGTCCCTTGTGTTTACAGCTGCCGGTGATGCTTTCTCCTCTTTCCAAGGTGTTTTTTTAATGCCTTTGATAGGTAGTGTTTTTTAGTTATTGTATTGTTTTTGTTTTTCCTGTGTCGTTTTCGTTTACGTTACTTTTTCTTCTTGAAAGAGGTAAGCGTTGTGCGCTGTGCGGTTTGGAAATGCTTTGGCTATGCTTTTGTAGGTCGAATTAGTGTGAGGTTGGTCTGGCATTGGTGAAAGACCATGTTTTTTTTTTTTTTTTTGTTGTTGTTGTTATGATTATTTTTTGTTTAGAAGTGGTTTCTAAAGATCATTGAGAAAACCTTTAGTCCTGACACAGTCTGCTTGTGTCCCTGATGAGCCAGAGAGAGGACCTTCCCTCCGCCGCATCCAGGCTTCTGCACTCCTAAGTTTGTGAGATGAAAACAGAGTGTTCCTAGGTGGGCAAATTAATGCTTTGGCTGAGATGTTTTATATTTTGACAGAAAAATACGTATCGGAAATGGCAGACCTGCAGCAACAGTCAACTTTTAGATGCCTTTATGAGCTGATTAATTTCTGTTGCTCTTCAAAAGGATCAAAAGATGGCACTCCAAGCCCACACGACATTTCCATGACAAAAGTCAGTTTACGTTGAGTTTAGGCAATCCTTAAACTCGCTGTAGAGCACAGTAGGTGTGCTCAGGGACGCCTTTTTCCCACACAGGACAGCGATACGATTTTGGAGCTTTCGGTATAATTTAATGCTAACCGTGGTATTTCTTGTGTTAGTGTCAGGGAATTGTTAACATTAATATTACTCTTCTGTTTAGCCACTGGAAGTATCATTGGACTGAAACCATTGCTTAGTTTTTCTTCAGGCTCTTGGTGTTTTTATCTGCAGCACAGGCATTTGGCTTAGGCAAGTACATGCAGCTGCCTGGCAGAAAGTTCAGTGTCAGTAACTGAGAAATTCTTAGATCTCCATAGCATCTCCTCACTAAATGTGCCTTGCTGGTTAGTTCTCTAGATGGCAGAAGGATATTATTTCCCCCTTCAGCTGTTTCTGCAGACTAATGATTTATGTATGTTGCTCTTGTTTCGCTCTTGGCACCTTCCTGATAAAATCTGTTGCCTAATTGCTTTTGGAATTCTCTTTCCTCCAGCCTAATTATGATATGTGATGCATTTATGGACCTTATTCAAATAAATTACCCCTCCCCTACTTTCCACAACAGAAAAACCCAAACTTCATAAACACTTATATGCATATGTGATGAGGACTGTTTTTATTAACCTTTACTTAGACAAGGAAATAATCTGGAAGTTTTACTGGGGTAATATGGGAGTAATTTGAGGTGACCTAGAGCGTACAGTTATGCAGGTAGAGATGCTTACAATTGGGAACCACTAATTTGGCCTAATCCCACCATTTTTGCTAGACAACCCATAGTGATGGCAAGACTCTTTCACCTGTCTGCTTTTTATAGTGTATTTTAAATCTATTTTCTCTCAGGACATGTAAATGAATTATCAGATGTTGAAACATTGTGGCTAGACAGTTGTCAGGTTTCAGTTGTGTATTGCACACACTTCTGTATAATCTATTTCAGACCAAGAAATGAATAGCATATTTGTGAGCAGAACCCCTCAAAAAAAGTTTTATTAGTTTCCAAACTGCCTTGAGGGCACTAAAACACAGCTAAGTAAGTGCTTCAACAGTTATGAAAAAGGAGCCGAATAAAATCTCCAGCTGAAAGAGGCATTTAGTTGATCCAAGGCAGGAATGACCTCTGAATTAGCTATCATCTCACTCAGCGATGAAGTCATGGAGCTCCCTCCTGGCTCCTGCCTGTGCAGAGGCATGGATCTTCATTGCGCTTCCCTGATCAAATTAACCCCAACTAGGTTAAAGCCGTGTGTGCTCACTAAGACTGGAAAGGGTTCAGCAACAAAAGGCACATTATTGCGAGACGAGACTCTCCAGTTAGTCATGCAGATCTGTCATCGTCTTGGAGAGCTTTCAAGTCTAGAGGTTTCAACCTGGTCCTGTGGGTGGGGCTGGGGATAAGGGAACAAAGTAAAATCCGTGGTTTGTCTTTTTTATGTCTCATGAATACACCCACACAATCCTCTAATCCACGCGTATCATTTCCTTCTCCTTTCTCCCCCCTATCGCTGCAGATTCATTCATGTTGTTGTGATCTGAAAGGGCAGAAATGAAGACAGCGCTCTGCTCAGCAGTCGCTGCTCTGTGTGCAGCCGCCCTCCTCTCCTCCATCGAGGCTGAAGGTAACCTCCCCCCCTTGCCCCCAGTGCCCTGCTGACCAGCAAACCTCCCACCCAGCCTTTGAGCTACGGGCTCTCTCTCTGTTTTTGAGTGTAACTACCTTGCATTCTCTCTTTCTCTCCTTCAGAGAAATGCCTCTTCTTCCTTGCCCAGCTCCTTCTGTGCTCTGTTTCTCCCGGCTAGTCAGCCGGATGGTAGCTCCCTCTCTGTCTCTCTGGTGTGCTGTCCACACCACCTCACAGACAGGATATGGGCCACCTCGGTGCCTTGCCCGAGGAGCCCACTGCCAGTGGACAGCTTGGCACCGCCGGGGCCTCTGGTGCTGCCCCTATGACGGATAGAGAATGGCCAGGCTCTGTGCTGTAGTCTCATTTAGTTATGTTGAGAGAGGAAACGGAAAACTCACCACCCAACAACCCACAGCTTTGAAATAAAATACTCCAACAGAGTCTGGCTCTCTGCGCCTGTGTGTTTTGTCCTGGTTGGAACCCCTGCCCTGCTGGCCTGCTGGCTCACCAGCCTCCCCAGCTTGGCAGGGCGACCCCCTGCTGAGCCCTGGGGTAGCTGGACCCTCCCTTGGGGTGGTTTGGCCTCCATGTTGGTTTTGATTAGGGGGACTGCCACCACCATGGCATATGGCCTGGGCACCACTGCAGGGTGGCTGTGCCTGTGCCTGGGCCAGGCCTTGCTGTAGCAGTCAGGGCCTCAAGGCTTTGGCATGTATGTGGTGCCATCACCCACAACGAGGCCTTTCCTCTTCTCTTTCTCCTTCTCCTCCTCCTTCTCCTCTTTTCAGTCTCTGGAGGTTGAGGTCTTTGTCAGCCCATGGCAGAGTCCTGCCTCTGGCTGCAGAGACCCACCATGGGTCTGGGGAGACCCATCAGGGACACTACACTCACTACAGCATGGCTCAAAATGGCCTGGCCCTGGTGCGTTTGCCTTCCCAGTGGATTAACAGCATGTGTGCTGACAACCTCCCCAGTCACCATTTGTGTGAGCTGCCTGTATTTGGTCATAGTAACAGTGTTTCTGCCGGCAGTGGCTGCCAGGAGAAATAGAGATGCTGAACATCCTGTGCTGAAATGACTTGCTTGACCTTCGGGATGTGACCATCATAGGGTGAACAGAATCACTGGCTGTGAACTCCCTGGGATTTACTGGGAAAAAAAACAGAATCCAGCCAGCTGATAATTTTTCCCCCTTCCTTCTCTTTCTGTATTGAACCAGAACAAATTCTCTGATTGTGGCCTGTGTTAAGCTTCTGTGTCTGGATTTGGTCACTTTGGCTGATGGCTTCTAAAAGCATGGTGTGTCAGAGATGTCTCTGGGGCATTTGCTCCCCCAACAGTGGTACTTGCTTGGGGCATGCAGATGTAAAGTACAGTGGCTTTCTGGAAAAAGATGACATTTCTGCCAGCAGTGCAGCATCTGGTCACCCTAGGAGAGAATCAGCTTGCTGCCTCCCTCTTGAGCTGCATTATTGTTGGCTGAGGAACCAAAAAAGGTCATTTGAATTCATCTCAGAGTTGCATTTGCAGGACTGCCATGCCAGAGAAAGCAATGGACAGTTTTGATGGAGGAAGGGAGTGGATGTATTTGTATGTATTTCCCCATGTTAGGAGGGAGCTCACTCTGAACTGGAGTAATTTTGCTGTTGTTCTGCACCAGGGGGTGCAGGTGTGTGGGGTAGGTTATTTCAAAATGTAAGTGAAGGTGTTTTATTTAGCTATAGTGTTGACTAAACCAGTCATAGCTTGAGTACTGTTAATGAAGCTACAAAAATGTATTTGGAGAAGCACACTGTTATTTAATAATGTCAAAAATAGATGCATTTCCAGACAAGATGGCCAAGCTTTAGCTCTGAGGTTGAAGGATGTGCCATTAGTAAATACAACTGGTCTTGTGAGTTGTAGAGCGCTCCTGGATAGGGCCTGCATTACTCTGCGTTCAGAACTGTCTATTAAGTAAAATATCTAGTTCACAGTGATCGTTTTTTTTATGAGAAACTTCTTCCAGCTTCAGAATCTTGAAGTAAGAACAGAAAAATGTCTTGATCAGGAAGTGCAGTGAGAAATAGTGGTGCTGAAAATGGAAATTCAAAGCTAGGAGTAGCTTAGGACTTACTCTGGTGGAAATTGCTTTTGTAAAGAGTTTTTTGCAGTGTGTTTTTTGTTTGCATCATACTGGTCGTTCTCCTGCAGAGTTTTAATTTTGTACTTCAATTTTACATCAACTTGTAAACTGCATGTTATATATTATTTAGTTTAGTTCTGGTATCATTACAGCTTAAATGCTGTCTGCTGAACTGACGTTCTTCTGCGGACATTTGTCCTTTAGTCTGTATTGCCAATGTTCAGATTACATTATAGCAAATCTCTATCCCACCAGTAAGTTTTCTCTCCCTCTCTCCCCCTCTCCGTCTTGCTGTCCCCTCCACTTCTCTCTCATTTTGTTCCTTTGACTTTCCCTATGGTGTTCACAAGAGATGCAGTTTGAATTTTCTTTCCCTAGGGTGTGGGCAGACATTTGGTAGGATGAAAAAGTGAGAGGAGATAAGGCAGAGGGCCTTTTGATGTGGTAAAGATTGTTGATATAGGGTGGGAAGAAGGAGTGAAAGCAGAGGGAAGGAAAATGTTAGTTCTATTTTTCTGTCTTCCTTCAGCTTTCATTTTTCGGTCTATCCTGGGGTAGATCTGGTGTTTATCTGATACTGCTGTTCATAGATTCCTAAATCTTCCAGGATGAAACTGTTTCTTCATCAGCATCACAGCTGCTCTGTGAGTACTTCATGAGAGCTGTGCTCTGTTGCTGTTGGCAAGGCAATGAGCTACAGTAATGGTGTCAGAGCTTTTTACACAGCAACACAGGGGTTTCTAGCTGGACAATCACTGTAGCAGTAGAGGATGTAAAAACAACATACAGCCTAAATGCATTCATGGCATTTCACTGGGGAAGCTGTTTGTTTACCCTGCCCACAGGGAAGCAAATCTGTTTTCATGCTCAGCATTTTTGCTCTTTTACAGTGAAATTCTTCTTGTTTTATTTTGCAATCCTTGACATCTCTGAGCTTAAACTTCTTGTGTATGATGCTATATTTTATGCTGTGTTTAAAGTGTTTTTTGCCTTTTTAGTCCTACACCATAATGCTCCAGTGCATTCCCTGTATGTCCTCATGTCAAATTTTCTTTCTGTCGCATTATTTTTTCCATCTGTGTTCACAAAAGCCAGGGGAAAATCTATGTCCTTTCACTAGATAAGATTTCTTTTCATTATTTTAGTCATAGTTAAGCCAGGTAGATTAGTATGTGAATAGCCTGTTCGTTATAATCTCAAGGTAATGCTGTGATGATGTTGTGGCTTGTGTAGTACCTTGCATTTCCCATTAATGGGATTTTAAAAGGCAAGGAATGAGGAAATCGTTGGTTCTGTGTAACCCCACTGAGGCTGTGAAGGTGCTGACTTTTCAATGTAACAAAGGTTCCCATTGTTAAATGAGAAAAAGTTTCTCATGTAACAAAGCTTGTGTTGAGTACATTAATTTTCATTGACTGAATGGTTTAGAGATGATCCAGGATAGCTGAAACTTTTGAAGTTAACTACCTATTTGCTTTGGGACTGGTTGGTGGCACCATTATTTTGTTACCTTTTGATGTCTGATTTCTATCTTTTGAGAAAGTAGTTGTTGATTTCCAAGTTCCCAAGGAGAGAATCACATAGATTGATGTGTGAAATTGAAATCTGTATATACATAAGGGTGACTATAGGTCCTTGTTTTTCCTACTGCTAGTTAGAAGAAAAGTTTACATGTGTGTATGTTTAGACACACACATGCACACACACGCACATACCTACATATGCACAGTGTGCATAAAAGTTGGTATATATTTTTGCATGCGGTTTGTGTGTATGAATGCAGTTATGTTTAGTTATGTAAATATAGTTAGAAACACATATATTTAAATGATTTTTTTCAAAATACACTTATGAGCTATATGACAAAATTTCATATACATGTATAAAATTAAAAAATGCAAACATAGAGGTGACAGTGCTGCTGTGTTGTGATTGCAATGAATATCTAACAAGGCTGAGAGTCTGTCCTTGACTAAGTACCTAGGCAATAGCTCATTCTTTTTCCTAATCAGTTTGGCAGCATTGGCTTTAAAGCAGCTTGCTGAGGGTTTGATCTAGTTACTTGTGTCAAATCCATGCTATTTATTAAATAATATTTATTAAATAATATATAAGGTCTTTGGCTTCTTCCAGCCTCAGCAGGGCTTATCTTAGTGAGAGCAAGGCTGAGATTGTTGTGTAGCTTCCGTGGCCTGTATGTTATGTTAACATGGGCTAACATATTATTTCACATGCTAATTTTAAGGAGTCTTTTCCAGTGATGGAATTACAGACTTTTTTTCACATAGGGATTGTTGATGGTAGCTCCTCCCAGTTACACCACTTTGAAGTCTGTTTATAGACTTGTATATTTAAATTGCTTGATCTTCTGATTATATTTTACTTTCTCTTACGAAGATATTAATTAGGATCCTCTGGCAGTCACATTATACTAACTGTAAAAATCTGTAGATTAGGTTTGTATTGTATACAAGCTAGTATAAGACATACATAGCATGAGGAAGATGCCTTGCTCTATATTTTCAGTTTGAGAAAAGATACTGTTATTATACATGTATATAATACCAGGAGCGGCAATGAATTAAGTATGTTATGTTTGATATTTTTTTGTTTGTTTATTTTCTTTACTGTTGTGGTGTATAAGATAGGATATCCAATTGAGGAAGTTATCATAGTTCTAAGAGTGTTGGAAATTGACACTGTAAACATTACTGTCATACAGCAAGATACTTTTTTAATATGCTAAAAACCTGTAGGGGAGCCCTACATTTCTCTGCATCAGCAGTGGAATCACTGTATGAAGGCAATACTGTAACACCATTACATGTTACGATCATGGTCCTCTACCTTGACAAGTCAGTGAGAGGCTTGGCATGGATTTTGATGGACACAGGATCAGGTTGATCAGTGGTGTCAATACACTGTAAACACAGGTGCAACTTCACTTATGCAAACAGCATGACATCAAGACTGCTTGCTTGAGTAAAGCTGTGCTCACACATAAGCCTTTTTAGGGTGCAGTTTTAAGATTTGTCCCTGTAATGGGACAAACTCCCACCACAGCCAGGGGCATTTT